AGGTGGCTGGGTGCGCGCCCGCGCAGTTCGCGCAAGTCGCGGGCTGCGTTAGCGGGCGGGGGCAGTCGGCGGCGGCGTGGGGGTCACCGCAACGCACGCAGGCAAGCGGGCGGTGACATCCGTGGCTGGAATGGCGGAACCCCTGGCAGCGGTGACACTGCGCAGGGGCGTTTCTCCTCCCTCTCCAAGCTTCGATGCTGATCCCGGACATACTCATGAGGCTACTCACCGAGTAGATGGCCGGGATGACGTCAGGGGTGCGGCGTATTGCGGCGTAGTACAGGCTTCCGGTGCGGCCTGCTCGCGCCCGGATCTGCTTGGCATGCTCGACAGTGAAGCCCTTTTCAGCTAGGGCCTCAGTGATGTCCTGCGGCGTGGTGTTGAGGGGCAACCCGCGGATTGCCACCTTGAGGTTGCGGTCTTCTATGCGGGCGTGCGAGTACCAGCTCAGTCCTTCTTGTCCCTCCAGTCCGGAGAGATAGGTCAGGACGAGCCGGCCCTCGTCGTCGTCAAGTGGCATGAAACGTATGCCCGTTCCGAAAGGGCGTACGTTGGCTGGTCGGCCGAGCTGCTCCTGTATGGCGCGCAAGTGTTTCGGCCATTCCCGCAGCTGCTCAACCACAATCGGCGGGTGTCTACGGACCCGTTGGGACGTGGGAGCGCTGCAGGAGGCCGGTTGCGCGGACGGGACAGCGGTGGGTGTCGTAGCGGTGGTGGGGGTTTTTTCCTCGGAGATGTGGGTAGACGCGAAACTTTCTGCGATCTGCGCGTAAGTCTGCGTCGGTACCTCGGTTTCGGTTTCTATCTCGTCTGGGGTGTCGGGGGCGGCTTCTTGCGCGGGTTGTTCGTGCTGCGGTGCGGGGGTTACCTTTGTAGGTAGTGGTGCCTGCTGGGGTTCGGGGGTGTCTCCGACGCTGCGAGACCGGGGGAGGCGCGGGTCGCGCGGTTGTGTACCGCGGGCGCGTCGCTCTTCCGGTTCTTTCTGTGTTGGCTTCATGTGTATGCGGGGGGCTGGCATGGTAAGTGGCCTGACGTTGGCGTAATCGCATGCCGCGATGAGCTCCTCGTCGTCGGGGCCGCGTTCTGTGACAGAGCTTGGGTCCTCGTTCAGAAGACGTTGGTACACCCACAGCCATCTCTGCATTCTCCATGATAAGAGGCCGGATTGAATGAGCCGACTCACCATCGCCGCATCCAATTCATATTGGATGCGCGGCGATCCGTAGTAGCAGTGTCCGGCTGCGTAGATGGCCTTGGCGTCCGCCAAGCTGGGTATCGGCTTCACGTCGTAATTGTTCATGCTGCGGGATGGGGGCTACGCCTGCGCGAACCTGGCCGAGCGCAGCCTTGCGGCGCGCTCGAGGCCTGCGGCTGTGGGCGCGGCAGTCACCGCCGGCGCGGAATGGCGCCGGGCAGTCTCGCGAGCGGGAAAAATCGCAGATTTTTACCTCGGAGACTTTGGATGCTGGAGGTTCCGTGCAACGGCGTAGTACAGTCCGAGGTCGAGGCACTCGATCGTCGTCTCGCGCGTCGCCGGCGCCGTAGGCGCCGCGGCGTGCGGGGAATCCCTTCTGGCGTGAGCCACTTCGGATGTGTCGGGCTCGCGTCTCGTCATCAGGACGAGACGGTCATGTGGGTCGAGTACCCCCGCCTCCGCTTCTTCACTCATCGCCCTCGGCGCGGTCGAGCCCACCGGGTGAGACCCGTGAGGGAGGCCCAGTGAGCGACCAGCGAGCGGGCGACGGACTTCAGCGGGCGGGGGTGATGTCTTCAACGGGGGTAGTTCGAAAACTTTTGTTCTCGGCCTGCCCGAACTTTTGTAAAAAGCCCGTGAGCAGGTCCGACAATTGAAACAGCAGGCGCGTGGTTTCGGCGTGCGTGGGCGTAGGTGGCGTGGGCGGCGGTGTGTCCGCGGCCGTGGTGGTGGCTTCGCTTTGTTTGTGCGAAGGGGCGTCGGTGGTCGAGTCCGTCGTCGATAGGCTCGCTCGACGGATTTTTCGGCGGCGGCGCTTGGGGCGCTTGGTGTGCGAGGGAGGAGCGTTCGCGGGGGCCATCAAAGTGGCCGGCGCGTGCTCACTCACCTCGCGTGGCTGTTGTGTTGGCTCGGTGGTGGGGCGGCCTGTGCGGGCCACTGTCGTGGCGAGGCGGTTGCGTGCCTCGCGTTGAAGCACGGGGCACGTGCTGTGATTAGCCGGGTGCGCGCCCTTACAGTTCGCGCACGTCGCGGGCTGTGTGAGCGGGCGGGGGCAGTCGGCGGCAGCGTGCGGCTCGCCGCAGCGCACGCAGGCAAGCGCGCGGTGGCAGCCGAGACTGGAGTGGCGGAACCCCTGGCAGCGATGGCACTGCGCGGGGCCCTTCCGCCCTCTCCAGGCTTCAATGGTGATCCCGGACATGCTCAGGAGGTCACTCACTGAGTATATGTCCGGGATAAGGTTCGGGGTTCTTCGGAGCGCTGCGAAGTATAGGGACCCGGGGCGGCCTGCTCGCGCCCGGATCTGTTTCGCGTGCTCAACCGAGAATCCTTTCTCGGCGAGGGCCTCGGCGACGTCTTGTGGTGAGGTGTCTAAGGGCAGCCCACGGATGGCCACCTTTAGACTGCGGTCTTCGGGGCGAGCGTGCGAGTACCAACTCAGCCCGCTCGCCTTGAGGTTGGTGAGGTAGTCCCGTATGGTGTGGCTTTCGTTGTCGTCCGACGGTAGGAAGCGCAAGCCCGCGCCAAACGGGCGCGCGCTTGGTGGTCGGCCGAGCAAGGCGTGGAGGGCGCGCATGTGCGACGGCCAGTCCGGCAGCTGCTCAACCACAATCGGCGGGCATTTGTGAGCCCGTTGGGACGTGGGAGCGCTGCTGCGGGCCGGCTGTGCGGTCGGCACGGCGGTGGGTGAAGTGGCGGCGGGTGCGGATTTTTCTTCCGAAGTGAGGGTAGGCGTGAAATTTTTCACAACCTGCCCGTAAGTTGGCTGCTGTGTCGGTACAGCAGTCGGTGGTGTAGTCGGCGGCGTCATGGGCATCTGTTCTTGAGTTGCGGGGGCGGTTACTGGTTCGGAACGCTGCGGTGGAGGTTTTTCTACCTTTGGTAGGAGTGCCGGTCTGGGGGTGGGCGTGTCGCCAAAGCTGTGCGTTCGGCGGCGCGCTGTCTTGTTCGGCTTCTTTTTGTCGATTGGCAGCATACTGATGTCGGTTGGCGGGTGGAGCGTGAGCGGCAGCAAGTTCAGCGACTTACTCAACTCGACGGCTGCCCAGTCCTCGGGTTGGTGGTCGTCTGAAGCGCTCTCCTCGGTCTCCATCAGGCGGATGAAGGTCCACAGCCAGCCCGTCAGCCTGTAGGATAACAGGCCGGAATCGGCGAGACGGGAAACCATCGCGAAGTCCAATTCATATTGGACCCGCAGTGACAGTTCCTCGGTCGACTGGGCGATGAAAGTGGCCGCCGCTTGGGCCGCAGTGGGGTCCAGAAGCGACGGCTCGGGGTAGATGGGCGGCGGCAGTACATCGTCGTCGTCCATGGTTGCGTTGGGTCGGGGGCTACGCCTGCGCGAACCTTGGCCGAGCGCAGCCTTGCGGCGCGCTCAAGGCCTGCGGCTGTGGGCGCGGCAGTCACCGCCGGCGCGGAATGGCGCCGGGCAGTCTCGCGATCGGGAAAAAGCTCAGTTTTTACCTCGGAGAACTTGCGGTAGGTGGAGGTTCCGTGCAACGGCGTAGTACAGTCCTCTAAAGTCAGAGGTCGAGGCTATTTTGGTCACTACCTATGTAGGCCACAAGTGTTCGCACTTAGCGCTATATTACTGCGCTAGTGCGCCTATCGGAGCAATGTGAGAGGGACAGCCTATAATGCTGTCTCTCTCATGGTGCTATTTCTATTCTCGCTTTGTGCGACGTTATAGCGGCCGTGGGCCTATCCTAGCGCTGTGCGAGAGAGACTGTAGTGCTGTCTCGCACAGCGTTGTGTTACTGAATGTGTGTACCTACCTATCGTGAAATGAATGTTGCGCAACTCTTTTATTAAAATAACAATAAGTTTACATTTCACTTATAACTAACTATGACTACTATTTACAACACATAAGATTATTAAACTATTGAATTAGGGCGGCGTCTGTTCTGTACATATACTTAAATTTAAATTAAAGATGCGCTTGTTCTGTTCCCTAGATAAGTTATTATGGATTAGTATGGATGAACTGGAATCATGTTTTCTCCGAAGCGTGGACAAGGTTGGGTGATTTGTGGACGCTCCGTTTTACAAAGAAGACAATTTACTATAACGAACAGAATATTTGAAAAAACCCCAACCCATGCGGGGATTTTTGGATTTGGCTGCAGAATAACATATATCTGAGCCCCCTATGTAGTGTCGAATTAACTAACGAAATTAATTCTCTCATTTCATTAATATTCGTTCGTTATAGTACTTGTACCTATTGAACTTAAAATAACTTAAGATCTCGGGATGGAATTTGATGCGCTTTGGCACAGAAGATCATGACTATAATACCTTTCAAACAAATGTAGTTTAAGCCGTGGCGGACGTGGTTGCAGCGTCCATACATTTTTGTCCAATGTCTTTTAAGTTGCTATTTTGTAGAGCTCTAAACGTCATGGTAAGCATACGATAAACATATCAAACGCGTTGATGTATTTTTTTTCAAAAAGAGAAAAGTCAAAAAACTATTGATAAACGACATGTTTTGACTACGTAGGGACTCTAAGGTCCGTATTACAGAATGACAACTAAGTGCCGATATTTACTTGAGTACAGTAAGAAAGGGATATCGCTAAGTGCTATTTATAGCGACATCCCTTTCTAACTATGCTCAAGACTAGATCAATCACTGAGAATCTTTCTATAATACAGGCCTAAAAAGTTAAGTTGTCGTTAATCTTAACTTTTTATGTTTAATAAACAAATTTGTAAAACTATATTTGGGTTGTTCCTTATTAATTACAATTAGTAACTAACTTCTTGCATAATGTACTTTTCTTTTTATTTCAATTTTGCATAGAAATTTGATGGTAGTCGACGACTTCTACAACTTCATTACAGCCAGAACCTATCCAGAGCTACTGCAAGTGCGACCCTCGTTAAAAAAATCGGTATTAACTTTGGAGCACCACTCCTTGGAGACGATTACTGTTGATTTGGCAGAGGTATGTTATGTAGCTTTCAGAATTATTAACTTAATAATAATTGATAATTAATGTTGCAAGAAAGAAACTTAAAAAAATATTTGCAATTGTAAGCAAAGAAAAAATATTACCTACACGGCATCAGTACCCCGCGACTCTGCTTAGAATTTGGTTTCACATACATCACCCGATTCAAGAGTTGATTTGATTTTAAGAAAAAAAAATACACTATGTCGTTTTTCGGGACCGCATTACTATTTCTGAACAAACATTTATCGTTCAGCTCAAAAAAAAGCTCAAGCTGTGGTTCGCAGCTATTTATTCATCAAAGTTTGAAGTGAATCACGATTCGCTGTGCTCATTACTCTATTACGAAGGATATCGCTTATCCTTCGGTTTAATAAACTTGATAATCGAAACAAACCGATAAAGTATGAATTTTGAAACAAGCAACAAATTATAGCATATCTATTTTATATACAGGTCAAGAAAAACAACACACCTCGTAAAGCTACGATTTGGTTTTCGGAAGTGCATGTATATGATTGCGGATCAGAAGTCAGCCAATGGTTTACCAAGTAATATATTGAATTATAACTATTTTACATTATGCATATAGTGACCATCATTTAGGTATGAGAAGACCCCGTAATTGCTGACCTTTTAAGGGAGGAAAACGGTATACTATTTTAGTATGTCCAGTTATTTTGTGTTATGTTTACGTTTTATTTACTTGCACTCTTAACTTTCAAAGTAAGCAAGATTTTGATATATTAGAAAACAACATTTTAAGCTTTTTTCTTTTTAGAGTGCCGTACCCAGAGCCAGATGGTTTTAATGGAACTATACAGTGTTACAGGAATAGTTTACCTAGATATGTAAGGACATTATTATTAGGTCATTGTTAATGGATTTGAACCACCAGCGGTCGAAAAGTAATTAGGTTTCCTAAAAATTTGGCTTTAAAAGATTTCCTCAATTTTATTTTCATTTCTTAAATCAGACTTAACCCTGTTTAAATATAATATAGCCTCCGTTTTATCCTTTGATCTAACAGTGGGGCTCATGAACTGTAGTTGTTGTTCTAAGTAGACAGTTAAACTCTTCAGTGTAGTACAGACAGCTCCATAAAAATCGAAGTGTGAAGACATCAAAGTTGTCGAAGATAGATGAATTCAATTTAATATGTGTTGTTAGAACAGCTTAATGTTGTGACCAGCCAGAGTGGTCAATATTATCGAAACAACATAATTCATAATTACGTTATGTATTAAGATAATCAATTACATATATTCGCGAATAACTATCTAAACATTCAAAATTATCAAAATTACTTTGGTAGTAAAGAAAAGTAAACGCTAATCTGGGGTATTACGGTTCTTATGTTTTCATTCTGTGCATGACGTGATTGAAGTGTCTTTTGTTTGGGCCTATAGGCGCAATTCCATTAGACTACATTTATTTATTTTTTATTATGTATGCAAGGTGCAAATTACATGCAACTTGAACAAACCTGCATATAAGCTACAAGTTGCGTGTCAGTTGTACAATTTTAATCAAGTGACGCGCAAATTCAAAACGCAACCTTAACTTGCGCGTTCCACTTTATATAGTTAATTATTATTATTATTATTATTACCAGTTTCATAGAAATATAATTATAATGTTGTGATCAATCGCATCTTAAAACCACAGACGTTTGAATTTATGCGATGTACGCCTGCACGACAATATTTAAATTGCTAACGGAACATTAATGAATAAGTTAATTGCGTTAAAGCGTTAACCCTCTCAATTCGGAACATCTCTACTCATAAAAAAGTAAAACCTGCATGCCATTTACACACTCTGGAAAACATATTTTCAACGCTAGCAGCTTGTATTGTCTTGTAACGTCATACTTGTATGCAAAACTTGCGTAATGGGATAGCGCATTAAGTATTTTGAAACAATTAGATTTAAGGTCATCATAGCACACTGCGGGAACTGCAAGTTGACGTCCCACCGCGGGAGCTTGTCCAGAATCGAGACGATTACGTTACGATTCCTCCTCCTTCCATCATTGTAATGGTTTATATGTATTTGGAGATTTTTAATCTGATGAAATATAAGACTGGTTGGTTGTATACAATATTAAGATGACTTTAAATGCAAAGATAGTTAAACCTTTGTTCTTAACATGTATTTGACCACCTTATTACCTCATATTTTTATGAAGCTGACTGTACTTCTATTACCGCTCAATCAAATAAAGACAAAAAAATAAAGACGACACCGATTCCTACAAATATTTATTCAGCGTTTTTACCTTAACTATGGTTGTATTTCAAATGAAAGCCTAGTCCGACTCGCACTGCAATGTTTTTTTAGGAGAGCGGAAAATTTAATAATCTCATAATTTTAATAGTCATATTTTTTCAGATTATTAAATAAATATTCTCATACTTATCATCTCGTCCATTATGCATCTGAAAAGACCCGTAAAAGTGTCGATCCGAGAAACAATTACTTCAGGTTCTCAAAAGATGATTTGGTAAGTTACTTTAAGAATTTAGAGATTATAAGGCCGAGTGGTTTGTACGCCAGTTTCCAAGGTGTCACCTACTCAGAGAGGCTCGAATCCCGGTGGGGAAAATCTTAATCTTCGATGATTATATGTTCTATATTAGTTCTAGATAAATATACTTATATATGTATCAGTGTATGTATTCTATCCTTTACCCCTGTACCCCTTCCGTAGTCCTGAAAAGGAACCCTTATAGTTTCGTCATGTCCGCCTGTCTGTCCATCCCCAATTTTGCTTGGAGCCTGTTAGCACTAGAGAGCTGTAATTTTGTGGAGGTTCTTTTTAATCATGCCGACAAAGTTTAAAAAAAAATTTTGGGGTAGCTTCACTACATGTGAAGTGGGGATATAATTTTTTCATCGTCTACCCCATCGTGTGGGATATCGTACGGTTCTTTGAAATGACTTGGGGGTTGCCAAGACTATTTTATGATTTAGGGATCCGTTTACGAAATATTTTTAAAGATAAATTTTTTGTTCGAGTAGGGCGTATAGAGTATAGGAGCACTTGAAACGTACGCTCTTTCCGCTGAATCCCCCTCCCAGGGGATGATCAGACCCGTAGTTCATGCTAAGGCCCTTCCGGCCATAAGCATGAACTACGGGTGTGTTTTAGTCAGTAAGTCTTACATAGGGTTACCTTACAGCCGGCTGTAGGGTCTCGATGAAGATTTCACACCCGCTCCTCCGATTGGGAAGAAACAAAAACAAACATGTTCTTCCTGATATTAAGGTTTTGTGGTAACGACGTGCAACTACGAAACCCTAAACTGCACGTGGCACAACACGCACCTAGCCGGTTTTTTTTTTTTTCATAATGTTCATGTTAATTTAATAACAACTTAATTTTTAGAGTACATATTTATCCATATTTTGACTATGTGGGGAGTCAAAATATGTAATGTTTCAATATTTTTTGACTTTTCTATCTTTTTGACAAAAAGACATCAACGAGTTACGTATACGAGATAAGTATATCTTTATATATATAATTCTTCTGTGACTGTGTATGTCACTGAACTTCTCTTAAACGACTGGACCGATTTTGATGAAATTTTTTGTGTGTGTTCAAGGGGATCTGAGACCATTCTCAGGTTTAGATTCACAAAGACGTGTAGACAGGACAACGTCTGTCGGGTCCGCTAGTTTTATTATATACTAGCTGACTCGGCGAACTTCGTACCGCCCAAAAGTAATAATTTGCAATAAATTAAAATTGCGACTATAATTTGAGATTTAAACTATCCTATCTCTCAAGTTGGATCGAACTGCACATGGTGTGCGAATTTTATTATAATCGGTTCAGTGGTTTAGGAGTCCATTGAGGACAAACATTGTGACACGAGAGTTATACATATTAAGATTATAGGCGAGGAGCCACCAATCCCGAAAGCTCCGTGATCACGGCTTCTAATATTTTTAATAAAAAAATAAAACTTAACGTTTAGACGAACAAGATTTGCTTGGTCGGCGTGGATTTGATTGACCGGAAATATTTTAATTAAATTATTTATTATTAAATTTCCATATTTTTTTTCCGTCATCACGGATTTTGATCAATCTTTATCAATTTTGTGTGAAATATTATGTTCAACAAGAAAAAATCCGGCCAACCAATGATTTTTAGCCGGAAAGGTCACGCATACCTATTTGAATGGTGTGATAAGGGGTAAAATTTATCCATTATCACGGAAACCTTTTTTTGTTTTTTTAATTTACCCGTTTTATGTCACATTTATAATTATCTTGGAATACGTGCTTACAAACTGCCGAAAGTATCGCGCATACCAAATTTTAACTCTTCGCTTTTTAACGGTTTCTATATTTCTGTAAAGAGTGAGTAAGGCAGATTTTTGGTTCAAGTTGAAACCTTGTATGAGTTCGTCTTTTTCTATTCCCTACGAATTTAACATTTACCTGCCTCAAAGATACACAATACCGTAAAGTGAGGTTGTTCTACGACAGGGCTGCATAGTGTTAACTCTCTTACTCATGTTTCTTTTCAAGTCCATAAGACTGCTCCAAGAGTAAGTGAGATAAGAGTAACATCGAATTTATGTTAAAGTTCCATAGGTCTTTCTCTCTTACTCCAAAAATGTCACAGCATACCTACGTTGTCCTACAGCATTTTGGGGGTTCAGATCATTTCGACATTTCAATCTGCTGTTTTCCTAGCTGTCAAAAGTGTCGTTATTTTGTACAGCTTACTACGCATCAGCATTCTAAACATATTTATTAACTTAACAAAATTCACTGTTGAATATTTAAAAAAAAAACATTTTTTTTATTTATAATTGTCAAACCGTCTAATATTTGTACATCTTTTGATATTTTAAACAGATATTAATTTTCTGGTGATATTGTGTCCATTTAAGTAATATAGTGTAGATTGATTCAGTGTACTGTTGCGTTATAAAAGAACATTTAAAGCACTAGATCCAATCTCAGCGTTTCATCATAACAATTTCAATACGAAGTGTTTTATTTGTAATACATCAACTAAAGAGAAAGCTACTCCGTTTTCTGGAAGGGAAGAAGCTTTTAAAAAATGTAAAAACGTGCTGAGTTTCCGGAAATTAAAAAAAGTAAGTATCAAAATTTAAGCTTAAATTCCGATGATTTGAACGACAATGGTTATCATCTCACATTACATATATATACATTCAGGTAATTTTTTATATAATTTATTAAAAACTTCTGGACACATCTATTGGCCCACCTTGTATTTTCAGTTTCGTTTGATCCTAGCTAAAATTTTATAGTAGGTCGAGCAAAAAGTTTTAATGCAGTTTTGAACCTGGCACATTCACAATTTTATTCAATAGTCTTTTTTTGAATTTCGAACACAGATTTTAAAGAAACAAAAAACAATTTGGAGTCTGTTTGTTGATATCAAACAATCGAATACTAAGAAAACTTGGTTTTATTGGTTTACTTGGATTTAATTCTTGAAAAAGTGATTGATATCTTTGGTTTTGCAACAAACATTACTTATTCTTAACATTAAGGTGAGATTCTATCAATTATCTATGGATACTTCACCTGAAGTCGCCGCCCAAGCTGAAGCTGAAAGAAACGTGAGTGCTCAACTTAATTTAAGTCGATCTGCGGTCCGAAGTGTTTATCGGAGGTACCTAGAGACTGGCGGCTTTGTTCGTCGCCTAGGAAGGCCACGATCTCGGGTCATAACTGAAAGGCAGGATCGATTCATCGTGACGACCAGCTTGAGAAATCGTCACCTTACCTCCATTGAGATACAAAAACAAATTCGCGACTTCCACGGAGTATCTGTCAGCGCTCGAACTGTTCGGAGAAGGTTAAAAGAACGCGATATGGTACCACATAAGCCAGCTAATGGGCCCAAACTAACACGAGCCCACCGAACAGCGCACCTTCATTTCGCACGCAGTCATTTAAATTGGACACAGCAAGATTGGAGCCGTGTACTCTTTTCTGATGAGTCTAAAATTGTGTTTCATGCAATGATGGAAGGAAGAAGGTCTACCGACGTAAGGGAGAGCGTTTCGCACAATGCTGCTTTGAAGAGAGGGTTGCTTATGGCGGTGGCTCATGGACTGTCTGAGCGGCAAAACTCAACTTGAGGTTGTTACAGGACCATGGCTGCCAACATTAAATGCTGAAAGGTACATTCGTGAGTGCTTAGAACCTCACGTGATACCATACGCGGACTATGTGGGCCCAAATTTCTTTTTTATGCATGATAATGCAAGAGCCCATGCGGCCGGCATCGTCAGGAAATATCTTCGGGATGTGAACATCACAGTTATGGACTGGCCAGCCAGAAGCCCAGACATGAACCCCATTGAGCACATGTGGGACGAGCTAAAAAGACGTGTTAGGGCTCGTCAGCCAGTTGCCCAGACGATGCAGGAGTTGAAAACTGCCATAGAAGAGGAATGGGAGATGATCCCTCAAAATTTCATAGAGCGGTTGATAAACTCTATGCCTAATCGTATGAGAGCTGTGGTAGATGCCCATGGAGGCAACACGCGTTATTAAATTAAACCTTTATTTGATAAAACATGTTTTTTATTCAAAAATCAATTGCCTTTAACAAGGCGCATATCCGACTTGTTAGGCGCAGCTCCATGTCGTATGGTATTCTCAATTCAAATTTAAAACAATACAATCGAAAAAGATGGTAAAATGTATCAGGTTTAAAACTGCATCAACAGTTTTTGTTCAATCTAGCAATCATATTTCGGTAGGGGCCATCGAAACCTAAACTCTAAGGTGGGCCAATAGATGTGTCCAGAAGTGTATAATCAACCCAAATAAAAATTTTCCTGTATTCCCTCTTTTCCATATTAATTAGTATAATAAATAGTTAAAAACTTAAGGAAGAGACCAGAGGTAGAAGAGAAACTCTAAAAGAAATGTCATCAAGTAAGTGAAATGTCTAACATTATAATCCTCACTCACACAATAAAATTTGGTATGCGCGATACTTTCGGCAGTTTGTAAGCACGTATACCAAGATAATTATAAACGTGACATTAAAACGCGTAAATTAAAAAAACAAAAAAAGGTTTCCGTGATAATGGATAAATTTTACCCCTTATCACACCATTCAAATAGGTATGCGTGACCTTTCCGGCTAAAAATCATTGGTCGGCCGGATTTTTTCTTGTTGTACATAATATTTCACACAAAATTGTATAGAAGATTGATCAAAATCCGTGATGACGGAAAAAAAATATTTAATAATAAATAATTTAATCAAAATATTTCCGGCCAATCAAATCCACGCCGACCAAGCAAATCTTGTTCGTCTAAACGTTAACTTTTATCTTTTATTAAAAATATTAGAATCCGTGATCACGGAGCTTTCAGGATTGGTGCCTCCCTGACTATTATTATTATGTCCTCGTGCTCGTGGCCCAGTAGGAGAATTCGTAGAAGCAGGAGTAAAGGGGTTTAAATTACCCGTTTTTTAATGAATATCTGTTTAACTAACTAAATAAATAATAAATACAATTATAATAAATTACATTTTTGTTTCTAGTATGAAACTCATATTTAAAAGTACTTAATCGTCGATTTACATTCTGAACCGATTTTATATGTATGTACTTAACTTTTACTTTTACAGGGAGCATTTCCAGACGACGCAGCGTACAATTTAATAAACGAGGCTTCAGTCGATGATTTAAACATACGTATAAGTAACAGCAAAGTATCAGCATTACAATTTAGACCCAACTTTGTATTGGCTGGTGGTACACCGTATGACGAAGATTCGTGGAGTTTTATTAAAGTAGGAGGAAGCATATTCGAGATAGTAAGGCCGTGTGTTCGGTTAGTGCATTTACTTAGATTTTAAACTTACCGCACAGAGTTTTTTTATTAATACAAATACTCCTTGAATGCTTTATTAGCACAAGTTAATGGTACATTATTTTACCATGATTTAGTTAAAGTCCTCCTACCAAGCTTAGGGCCACTAACTAGCTTTTGAAGTAAGTTCTTATATAAAAGAGAGAGATTTGGTTAAAATGTTTTAAATTCATTAAAAAAACCATTGCATAAATTAATTATTTAGTTTTAGGTAGTACTTTTTACTTAAAGCCACCCGATCAATGATTTTAAAAACCTATCTTTGCGGTCAGTATTATCTTAAAGCCGTATTCACTGTAAACAATGTTGCTGAAACAAGACGTAGATGTTTACAGAAACAATGTTTCTGAAATGCACGTCACACCAGTAAATAGTTGTTGTGAAACTCATTTGTTTCAGTGCTCTCCATTCCAATTATTAGGGTGCACAGAAACATCGCGAGAAACACGTTGTGTTTACCGCAACAATTTCACGTGTTTCAGAAACACAAGACAGTATTCTGTTGGTTCTTTTAAACGACCTTTATGAGCTGACATTAATCTTCTAACTTAAGTACCAAATTACTTAACATGTGTGGAGACTAATTATAATAAGCCAACAGTTGGTAGAACGTGAACATCTACATTTCATAGATGAAATTTTCGAAGGATGCCATCATGTTTATGAGCGGTGGAAGGAAGACAAATAACATACGTAATTCGCTAACTAAAATAATGTTGTGTTATAGATGCACTATGACCACACTTGACCCGGAAACTGGAGCACGGAATACTAATAACGAACCATTGAACACTCTAAAACGGTAAATATTTTAATTTTTTGAACTAACTTTTGACGACTAAATCGTGCAGAACTTTGGTGCATATTACTAGGCCTTAGGTCCACTTGCAGCAAGTTTATTAAATCTCGATATAACTAATACTAGGTTTAGCCTATAGAAGAATGTCGAAATGGCATTGACATTTTGACATATTCGTATGGGTTAAATCTAGTTATAGATAAATCGGGATTTAACAAAAGACACGATTCAAATTTGTATGAAAGGTGGTAGTCAGTCTCCGGCAGATTCCAAATTTTTATTAGATGTAGGTAGTGCACTTAATTGTAAATCGTTTGCCAAAAAATCAGATTTTATTATATCTCCGTCTTTCTTATATAATTATTATAATAAAAAAATATATAGTCACTGTTAGGCAAATGGCAAGTTTATTTATATTTTTTTGTTGCCAAAGCATCAAATATATTCTATTCAATAAGTAACTAAAACAGTAATCATTATTCTGTTCATCTTTCATTACATTGTTAGGTATTTTGTGGGTATTTAATTTCAAGAAGAATCAATCATAAATTGGTATAAAAGGTGCATCAAGATTTCGCGAATATCATGCCATTCATGACTGGACTGATTGACGTTTGCCAGTGATTAAGTTGACGTTATAAGTTACTAGCTGAGCCCCACGGTGTTTCCCGGCAGTATATTAAATATATTTTCCCGCAGTAAAACGTAGCCTATGTGTTACTCCAGGGGGTCAGCTAACTCCATACCAAATTTTATGAAAATCGCTCCAGCCGTTTAGACGTGAAGAAGTTACATACACACACTCACAAACTTTAGCTTGTCACACTCACAGACTTTGGCAGCTTACTGCCAGAAAATAAAATTATGACGTTACTTATCGTTACAAAGTTGTTAAATTTGTAATACGATTTAATATTAATTGGAGACAAATAAAAGTATATGTTCATGTTATAATAAAAACAAGCTTTCAAATTATATATGTTTCGTCGCTACTGGAAACCGACGTTTTTGCTGCTAGTGGACCTTAGTGTAAAAAAAACCATCCAGACATATTTCAGCACCACAGCTACACTAATGGAAATATTTCTTTTTCAGTTATCGCCAGATAGAAGATGAGGAAATCCGCAAAGCATTCAATATGGCGCCGCGCATGGGCGTGCAGATAGCACTGAGATCCGCTCCGGGAGGCACTGTGTCATTGCAAGATCCTATATACGTAGCATAATTTCATACAATAAGCAACGTTTAGTTGTTTTGTTATAGAACACTACTGGACTATACTGCAGTGGCTACCGAGAGGCATTGATGGCCACATAAATACGCATGCCCATCAATGCGTAGTTGTGGCTAAGGCCGTATACAGAAAGAAAGCCGAAAGCCGATCGGCGCTTATCGGCGCTGATCCTTTTTCTATGGACCAGCGCCGATCAGCGCCGATAAGCGCCGACACGCGCTGGTCAGCCTGTGATTATGATCTATGTTGTCCGAATAATAAATAATTTGTATTTGAATTATATTAAATCAATCTTAGTTATAATCTCTTTATAAATCTAATAACTTTATCTTTTATTATCTAAGCGCTAAAATTATTTGTTTCGTACTTACCTAATGGTGACAACAAGTCTTTCTTCTGGAAGGATTGGTTGTTTATACCAATTACACCAATTTTTCATCAAACGGTTTTTCACTAAATTCAAAATGTAATAAAATGTTTCTTGAGTCATTCTTGTATATGTATAAAATCTTTGATCATCAAATTTCATATTTTTTTACAAATAAATGATGGTATTCTCCGGAACGTTTCCTTTCTCTATTTATAGGATGTATAGCTTTTTTTCGCATTTTTAAATATACATTTTCCAACAAAACCAAATCATCGTCCGATGAGTCCGACATTTTGCTTGATCTGCTTTAATCGGCTTCCTTTATGTAGTAAGGATCGGCTTTCGGCTTTCTTTCTGTATACGGCCTAAGGCTTGTATAGTACTTTTCCCAAATAAAGCGCGGAAAATCAAAGTAAGAACCTCAATAATTTTTCCCGCGTAAGTGATCTTTGGATTTTTTTCAATAAACAGCTTTTCATTTTTTCAACCTATCTCGAAATTTAAATGAAACCTTTGATAAGTAAAGCCGGATATTCCTATGCAACATTTAGTATAACTACTGTTTATGAAGTTGATCATCTTGTTTATAATCAAGTTTACTGTTTCTGAAACTTGTCCGTCAGGTCTTCCACACTTGTCAGTTGTTGCTAGGATGTCGCCTGAGGAGGTAGTGTTGCTCTGTGCTGCTTACGTAGTAATTCATGAGAGTCGAGGTACGTAACCGAAAAAGCTTTTGATGAGCATTGAAACCCAGTCACGGAAAATGTTAGGTTCCTGAAGGAATCTCAAAAAACTAAATTGACGCGGACGAAATCGCGGGCGGCCGCTAGTACCTTTATAATATAATATATCAAAAGCCTACGGTAGGGAAGACCAAGCGGAGATTTTTGGATTTACTTAAGCTACGCTGATTTACATAAGGGGGCAGGCAACCTTATACCTTGTGTAGTACTCCCACCATACCAGAGCCCTCAATGTAGGGCCGAATGCTAGGGGAGCAAAAAAATTTCAACAACAATTCTTTTGAATACTGGAGCTACTGGAGAATATCCTTTCTCAATGTCTGAAGCGCTCAATAATGTATTTCTTACATTCTACCCTTTTGCTACGGCGATCCAAATACAGACCATGCAGACCGGCAGATCAATATTTTTCCCGTCCTCCGAAACGTTACATGAACCCTCATGTAGCTTCTATTCAAAAGTCTGACAATTTGGAAGCGACTAAAAGCCATGGCCGTTTGTTGATTTTTTTTTATTGCTGCCATAGACGTTCGGCCCTACATAGGAGGCTAAAGTACGGTGGGAGTACTTCACAAGGTGCAAGGTTTCCCCCTTATGTTATTTTGACTCGCTTGAGAATGCCCAAAAAGTCCCGCTTGAGCTCCCCTACGTTTTACGCTAACATAGAGATCTTTCGTGTTTTATTTGAAAGTCTGTTACTGATATACTTAATTTATATCTAAATGGATTGTAGTAAATATAATCTTTAAAAAAAACACAATCGCAATACTTTGACAATGTCTTTATTATCTCAAATGCGTAAGATTTGTGCACATATCTTCTTAGTTTCCTTTTGCGCGGACACCAGCACTCGAGCGAAGGTGCCGCCCCCCGTGCCCTTGGTGAGATGCTCCGGATTCACAACGACGCATCCGTTCACCTCCTGTTATGCAAAACATAACATCAATTACATTTTATTCTTTCGAATTTCCATACTTTATTATCATCAGTTATAATGTCCCCACTGCTGGGGTACATAAGCCTTCCGTGTTGATGGTATAGGGATTGGGCCATGACCCATCACGCGGGCCCAGTAAGGTTTGGTGGGTGCTAACGTCGAAGTATATCAGGTTCGAGGGCAGTACGATCAGGTGCGGTGTCGCGAGTAGTTGCGTTACTGCCGCCCCAGACACTTAGCGGGTTGTATCTATCCATACGCGCGGCACACAGTTAACGCGACGGTACCTTGACGAAGTATTACAGGTGCGGTGTCGGGGGTAGTTGCGTTACTGCCGCCCCAGACACACAGCGGGTAGTATCTATCCATACGCACGGCACACATCAAACGCGGCGGTACCTTGACGAAGTATCTCAGGTGCGGTGTTGCGCGTAGTTGCGTTACTGCCGCCCCAGACACACAGTGGGTAGTATCTATTCATACGCGCGGCACACATCTGACGCAGCGGTACCTTGACGAAGTATCTCAGGTTCGAGGGCAGTACGAGCAGGTGCGGTGTCGTGGGTAGTTGCGCGTGCGCCGCCCACAGCGCCGCGTCTACGGGCGCCGCGTTACTGCCGCCCCAGACACACAGCGGGTAGTAGGATTGTTGCTGGAGTAAGTGCGACGCCACTCGAGACATCCGGTCGCCGCCCATTCCCCTGCAATGTAACACCACAGTTAAGATTGTACTCGGAGCGGAGACGGACGTCAATTTAGCTCAAGCTTGATAAAGTTATGGCTGTAGCTTTCCTTACAAAATAACAATATAACACAATTGCGAGCCGGGTTCGTCCACCGAGGGTACCGTACTTTGTAGGTCTTTGCTTTTTGTTAACTTGGTAGATTGATTTTTTTCACATCTTCAAGGAACCGTAGATCTGAGTATATGGTTTAAATTCCAACTCGATACCTCCACACATTCCCGAAATAAAGAGTCTTGGCAGGACGACAAAGTGATCATATAAAGGTCCGTTTTCTATTTTTGAGGTACAAAAGACAACACGTGACATTTGATTTCTGCTATTTCATTGATTTTACAAATAACATTTTATAATGCGACTACTCAAAATACATAATAATTATAAAAGCATTTATTTCAGACACAAGCTCCATATCAAAATTTACTAAATACAATACAAAAATTACAATAAAATAAATAATAATAATAATAAAACCATACATTGTAAAAACACATTAAATTAAAATAAAGCACAGCAAAATGGAATCAAAATAAATAATATACTTACATTAAAAAACACATGCAAATTAAATTAAAATTGAACAATGATTTAAAATTAAAAATTATAATAATACTTAATTTGTAGCAATATAATTTTAGAATATTAAGTTGTAGAAATATTACTAATCAAAGCGCCATCTATCACCATACGTATCCATCATCTAACAATGTAATTGGTTTTAAAGAAGCACAGAATATATTATAAAAAAAAAATATGATAGTTGTATTTGAATGATGAGATAGATGGAGTTGTATTTAATAGTGTTAAATGAAATTACACGTATTGATGACGTGATTAGCTATTGTTCAGGAAGCAGTTTCTTGGAGGGAGATGGGCGTAGCCGTATTAACCGGTCCTGTCAATTCCTCGCACCAAATATGGTGATTTGAGAGAAATTTGCTAGGACGCCGTCACGTGATCCTAGGCCACTATAAATAGCTTTGCGCAGACGATTTCACTCTCTTTTGTCTGCGAACCGAACACTTGAACATCTAGTAAATTGCACAGTGACTGGAAAGTATAGTCAGTGCATAATTAATTAAAATATTTTCCCCGGATTAACAGGTAAGTCCAATATAACTAACTGTTTAGGCTGTAGGTCAAGTTAGGTTTTTTTAATGAACTATAGAAAAATGTGTAATTGTTTCTAGGTCCTTTGAAGTGGCTAATTAAAAACAGTATACGATAATCACAATTACTTAATCCTGGTTGGGATTTCTTTGGAAATATATATATAAATATAAATGAGCCTGTGAAGCATTCTTGATCGAAAGTAGACGGGTTCATGTGATGACAGCACGTCCTGATTCATTCCTGAGGACATTTGAGTCACCTTGATGTTCCCGTGGTCTTAAAGCTAAGTAAAACTTATACCTTCTCAATATTTAACCGGTGCATACTCCGAAGAACTAAATTTCTGTTTAACGTAATAAAGTATTTATATTAGTAAACTATAAAGCCACTATAAGAAGAATTCAAATTTCATTACATATTGTTTGTTATTTTCCAAAACCAAATGTTTTTATAAAATGTTTAAATAAATATTTCTGCATTTACACATGTTCTTGAATGTATGAACATCACTGAAGTTAAAATCTTTGAGGTTGTAAAAGCTGTATATTTATAAAGTTGTCTATAAATAGTATTAATTTTGTTAAATATGATGAAATAAGATCTGAATATTAACAATATATATCTTGTTCACTGCGGTTCTTGACATTTTTATTTGCCTCCCTCAAATAACAGTATTACGGCGCCCTGAATATAGAATCTTTTAATCTCGAGTCTCATGTAAACCCTGAAAAAGTCGGTGGTAACTAAAATTGTTACAAAATGGCGACCAACTTTAGGGCCGAGCAATAAAATACTGTATTTGAGGGAAATACTAATGTGTTAATATGATGATAAAAAGATTGGTGGAAAAATTTAATGCTTAAAATCCCCAATCAGTCTGAATAGCACATTAGAAGTAAATTACTTAATAACTACTTAATAACTTAGAAATCTTTAATAAACAATACTCTTGGAATACTAGTGTGTCTAAATGATGATGAAAAAGGTTGGTGGAAACATTGATGCTTAAATCCCCAATCAGTCTGAAAAACACACTAGCATTAATTAACTTAGCACATTAGAATTAATCAACTTAGCAATATACTAGAATAACACTTTCGTAGTAATTGGATGAGTAAATATTAACCTTAAACAGTGAACAAGATAGTCTATAAGAATTGAAACCTGTAATAATAAAAGTACCCTCCTTCAAAAAAAAAAATATATATAAATTTCTTTGTATTTAACTTTCTTAGATTAAATAACTTGAATAATTAGCTTGATTTAAGAACTTGATTAAACGTAATTTAATAATTAACTTTGTAATTAACTTAGTAACAGAAATAACTGACTTTAACTTGAGAAAATCTGAGAAAATGCTCTCTTTACAAAAATATGTAAACTACTTAAGAAAGGATGAAATCATATATGAATTGGATATTCTTGGCATTTCCACAGCTCCTGACACATCGGTGGATGCACTGAGAAAGCAGCTTCGCCAAATTTTTAAGCTGAAGAGACGCGGTAGCATCAAGTGTGCCCCAGTGATTACACCACTCCCTGCAAGCGAGCTCAAGGCCTGTACGCCGAAAATTGCTGAGCTCGAGGATCTGCTGTCATCAGGTGACCTCGGAAAGGACAGTAATCTTCACTTACGTGTGTCAGTTAGGGCTAATTATCTCATCGATAGACTAGCTCGATTGGAGGGTGAGAGTGCTTCTCTTGTGGATTTGCGCCACAGGCTCATTAGAATATTAGCTCAGGTAGACAAAGAGGATGAGAGTAGTTCAGACGAATTAAGTAGTAAAGAGGCAACTCCCGAGTGTGAGAGAACGAGCGAGATGAACGAAAGGAGGAAGGTGTACTTAATTAAAGATAGACGCATTAATTTAAACTCATTTAACTTAAAATATGATGGTTCTACTTGCGTTAGAAATTTTATAGAAAGATTGGAAGAAATTAGACATGCCCGCGAGATTCCGCAATCTCGTATGCTAACGGCATTTTCCGATCTGTTAGAGGACTCTGCTTTAATTTAGTACAGAAGTAATAAAGATAATTGTAACTCATATTCTGACCTATTAATTAACTTGAGAGAAGACTTTGATATTCCTGATTTAGAAATAGATTTATAAACCAAATTATGACGATTAGTTCTCTATTAAAGTAAATTTTTTTTAATACTTAAATGTTTAAAATATGCAATTCATAAATTAATTATGTCATTGATTATTTAATTATCTCTGTTTAGTTTAGTGTTCACAAAGTACCTTGACTTTTATTTAAATACATATAATGAGACACTATTAAGTATGTCGTTAATTATTAATTATTATTTTTTTGATAAATACTTAAAAATTAATCTTGATACATAACGTTAATTTCCAATGGAACCTTTTAGTGTTGTGCTTAACCTTAACATTTTTTGATACCTCCAATTACTTTCCCAGGTTACAATATATTTATGTACCTGCTTCCGTGATATTGGTAAGGTACTTGTAATTTTTTTACTTGCAGAAAGTTACAGGAACTTACTGATATTTTCCACAAGGTGAGGAAATTTTTAATCGTTTCTCACCAAAGGAATGAAGGATGGTTGGTATATACATATGTGTAATTTGTTAGAAAAAATATTAACATGTCAATAAGGCAAGCCCATGTCTGAAACCTCTTTTGAACTAGTAGTTGAGATTTATTTGAACCTTTTCCACACTCTTGAAATAAGTAGACGTATCTAATCATTACGTAATATTACTTCAGAAATTATGTTGTGTTGCACCCTATACGGTCAGCAACAGGCATAGCTGTAGCTAATTTGACTTCATAATCATTTCCCGAGAGGTGAGGAGACAGTTAATCGCTGCTTACCCAAGGAATGATAAACCTATAATTTAAACTTGACGATTTTTCCGAACAGTGAGGAAATATTTAATGCCCGAGGAATAAAAAGTTTAAACTTGAAAATAATTTCTTCCAAAACGTGAGGAGACCCTTAATTGCTGCTCACCAGAGGAATCAAAATTATTGAAACTTAATGATATTTTTCCAAAAGATGAGAAAATATTTAATTGTTTCTCACAAAAGGAATAAATATTTATTAAATGTGTGGTAACTACTTAATTGTCACCACCAGTTGATACTTTGTCCAATCTTGATGGCAAATGTTTTAATAATTAACTTCTTAAAGATAGCTTAAACATTTTGATAATATTATTAACAACAAACTTAAAAATTAACAAACCTTTGAATCCCTTATAAGATACGTATTTTAGTCACTTACAGTATTATCCGCTTGGCTAAGGAGACTTCAAGTGTGGGAAACATGTATATGGAAATCTGAGGGCTACGGTTCGAAACCTGCCAGAAAATTAAAATCTTTTTTTAATTTTTAACTAAATAAATAAATATTTATTGACAACCCTTTTAACTTAAATTCTCACTTTTAAAAGAACACTTAAATAATATTTCGATGCATTTTAATATTTTAATACAAAAAAAAAATATTTTTAATAGTAAAATATTTTCGTAAAGTTGTGTTCACTGATATGCATATGGGTATGAGAGTAGTATAAAATGTGTGATGTATGAAAAGTGTTTTCCAAAATAAGCACGTGCAATTTATTTTAAAATACTAAATAGAAAAATAGGTCTTGATGTATGAAAGGCATAAGCATAAGGAAGTGTACATATACTTTAGACTTGATAATTAAAGATAGGAAGATTGTTGGAAAATAATCTTAATCTTTTAAGTTTGAAAACATACAAACTTCTTTAATCTTGAGTTGTTTTCTTAACTACCTTAAGTTCATAAGATGAACAGAAAAATCATGCTATACCCCTTGATAATATCCAAGAATGGTATTTACATGCAACTAAAAGAAAAATCTTTAAACAGCAAATATTTAATTGTTGCTATTGACTTCGAGTTTAGAACATTACGTGTAGAAAAAAGTGGTTACTCGCGTATATGATTAAAAATTTTTTATCTTGGCTAATACTTAGTATTGTTGATTTGTCTGTAGGCCTGATGCAGGTTAGCTGAATTAAAAAAAAATTTTTTAGGAAAAAATTTTTTTGAGATAAGAAGGGTGTGTGTAGCAATATAATTTTAGAATATTAAGTTGTAGAAATATTACTAATCAAAGCGCCATCTATCACCATACGTTTCCATCATCTAACAATGTAATTGGTTTTAAAGAAGCACAGAATATATTATAAAAAAAAATATGATAGTTGTATTTGAATGATGAGATAGATGGAGTTGTATTTAATAGTGTTAAATGAAATTACACGTATTGATGACGTGATTAGCTATTGTTCAGGAAGCAGTTTCTTGGAGGGACATGGGCGTAGCCGTATTAACCGGTCCTGTCAATTCCTCGCACCAAATATGGTGATTTGAGAGAAATTTGCTAGGACGCCGTCACGTGATCCTAGGCCACTATAAATAGCTTTGCGCAGACGATTTCACTCTCTTTTGTCTGCGAACCGAACACTTGAACATCTAGTAAATTGCACAGTGACTGGAAAGTATAGTCAGTGCATAATTAATTAAAATATTTTCCCCGGATTAACGGGTAAGTCCAATATAACTAACTGTTTAGGCTGTAGGTCAAGTTAGGTTTTTTTAATGAACTATAGAAAAATGTGTAATTGTTTCTAGGTCCTTTGAAGTGGCTAATTAAAAACAGTATACGATAATCACAATTACTTAATCCTGGTTGGGATTCCTTTGGAAATATATATATAAATATAAATGAGCCTGTGAAGCATTCTTGATCGAAAGTAGACGGGTTCATGTGATGACAGCACGTCCTGATTCATTCCTGAGGACATTTGAGTCACCTTGATGTTCCCGTGGTCTTAAAGCTAAGTAAAACTTATACCTTCTCAATATTTAACCGGTGCATACTCCGAAGAACTAAATTTCTGTTTAACGTAATAAAGTATTTATATTAGTAAACTATAAAGCCACTATAAGAAGAATTCAAATTTCATTACATATTGTTTGTTATTTTCCAAAACCAAATGTTTTTATAAAATGTTTAAATAAATATTTCTGCATTTACACATGTTCTTGAATGTATGAACATCACTGAAGTTAAAATCTTTGAGGTTGTAAAAGCTGTATATTTATAAAGTTGTCTATAAATAGTATTAATTTTGTTAAATATGATGAAATAAGATCTGAATATTAACAATATATATCTTGTTCACTGCGGTTCTTGACATTTTTATTTGCCTCCCTCAAATAACAGTATTACGGCGCCCTGAATATAGAATCTTTTAATCTCGAGTCTCATGTAAACCCTGAAAAAGTCGGTGGTAACTAAAATTGTTACAAATTACTTACAAAGAGATCTCCTCCTGGCTTATGTGCATGAGGACGTCAGTACTTGTGACCCCGACAACGATCCCGCTGACATTGAGAGTGCAGGGGTCCGGAAGGAAAGAGACATTCGCGTGTTTACGCCGACTCGAGTACGCCGGAGTCGGGTAGATGTTGACGTGGAATGCGTCCTTCAAGCTCGATACTATGTAGATTTTTGTAAACGGACTGAAAACACGGATTTTTTTTACATATTGATCATCTTCATCACTAACCTATTAATGTCACCATTGCTGAGGCACAGGCTTTCCCTACGGATGGCGTAGAGAGATTGAGCCATGATCCTCCACGCAGGCCCATTGGTGGATGCTAACCACTGCGGATGGAGTCAGGACCAACGGCTTAACGTGCCTTCCTAAGCACGGAGGAGATCGAGATATTAAAATTTCGTCTTCCATCCAATTACCGACCATTGCGAAAGTTGCTTAACTTCCACGATCGCGCGCCGAACGTGCTAACCACCCGCGCCATCGAGTTCCTCGATGCCTATTTAAATATAAAAACCCCCTTATTAATAAACGAAGAATAAGCTTAGTTATTTACTCTTCGTTTTGTCTGTTTAAAAATGGAGGGATCTAGTACCTATTATGCGGGGCTCATTAAATTACAAATGGCATTTGAGTCATATTAACAAAACACGGCGTTACTAGTTTAAGCAGTGGCGTGTTTACAAATTTGCCGCTAATAGGCTATTAAATTTTTGCCGCCCCTACTGACCTTTGAAATTCAATACGCTAGTTCACAATTATATTTATTCTGAAATTGCAACTATAGATTTGTGTTCTATCGTCCACATTACGCTGGCTTTTTCCCATTAGTTTAAAAAAATATTTAATAAAAATTGTAATGAATATTGAAACGATATTGGAATATTTTAAAAATTTATGTTCGCATAAGTACCTTTGTTTTACAGTGCGTTTAGTAATATTTTATTTTTAATTAAATTTTTGTCACTCGTTTCTCTGTGTAGGTATATTTTGGGCCAAATTTGCCGCCCCCTAAAATCTGCCGCCCTAGGCTCCAGCCTACACAGCCTACTGGTAAATCCGCCACTGAGTTTAAGTGATGTTTAAGATTATTCCTCGTTTATTAAGAACGGTACAGTACAAAATATAGACATAGATGCCTGTAGCAAACCTCCGCTGCGAAACCGCTGGGCTAGTTTCGCTGTGCAACAGTACTTCACATAAGCGAAACTATTAGCTTAACCTAAAAGTAGAACAGTTGAGAAATCGCTTTCGGAGTCAGAGGAAGAACTAACCTTACTTTGGTCAACAACTTTAAAATGGCGAAATACCTACCTAATAAATGATATCAATAAAAAAAAGAAGTTGGGAGAAAATCGCTTAGAAAAAAAGTCACAGGAAAACCTTTTTTTTATTTTTAATTCAGTATGACAACAGATGGTTTCGAACAGTTACATAAACTAATAAAGTAAATTCTAAATCCATCTTTCTTATTTCGCTCTCATAATGATTCATTTCTCATTCTCATTGTCGATTGCTACAGACGCGTCCAAGTCACACGCGGAACCATTCCGAAATGGCGGCCAACGGGCCGAGATGTAGATGGCGCCTAGGCAAATGAGCAAAATCATGTTAGATAATAACAAAATCATAGTCAGTTTTGTACGTCAGAGCAGGGAGTTTCACTCCTGTTACGCCGCCAAAGAACTTACAACTCACAGCGAAACCATTGCGGTTTCGCCCTTTTGAGTTTCGCAGTGGAGGATTGCTACAGGCAAGAATGAAGTTTTCAAAATAAAACAATAAATAAATTTTTAAAGATCCGACAGCAACACATCAAGTTACACCACAACTTGACTTTTCTCAACAGATTGTGAATCTAATGTTAACGCAAAATAAAGCTCAAATCAGTTATAGAAATATGACAGTTTCGGGTTGAACATGATCGGTGGCCCACATACATACCAGAATACATTGGGTACTTATTATATTTACATTCTGTCCCTCCCGCACATGCTATCCTAAGTAACGTGCAAGAGAAACAGAATGTCTTGCGTCGGCATTTCCGATTCCTTTCTTTAATGACACGGATTATATTAAATTCTTAATCCACAATTAAATTACCAGCTATTATTCAACTCTCCTAAGCTGTCGACTAATTTGTCGAAGAACGACTTGAAGGTCTCCGCCATTGTGAAATCTTTGACCTTGGAATGTTCGCAGTCCATAAAAGGTCCCGTCATGATGACGACATGCGGTTTGTGTGTAGTGATGTGTGTGACTAAATCCTTCAAAGGTTCGTAGTTCAAATTGTCCGATGTTGTGTATGGACCGGCTACTATTAACATCGATAAAGTACCTGAAATCCAACAGATATTTTAAACCCCCGTAAACTTCTTAAGCTTCGACCCTAGACAAAAAAGCCTGTGCAATAGCATTAAAAATTTACATACAAAAACATGTGCGCAAGTTCGTTTATCTGTAGTTTTGCACAAGAAGTTTGCCGCTACCTATACTAACATCTTAGAATAAGACTTATCTACAAATTTTAACAGTGAATAAATATTGTCGCTTACATTGGATAATACTCTCTACTTTTATTTCATACAAATTTAGAGGCTATTATAATCAATAAGCGATTTTAAGTCTTCAATTCAGATGTTATTTTATTAAACAGCCTATATCACTCTAGTGATAGAAACTTTTCTAAAGTTAAAAGTGTTTTAAGATAAATTTAGTCAGATGAAAGAATCCACCCACAGTAATACGCGAATGACATTTAGTTGTTTACCATAAGAGACGTCACAATCATGGCGGATGTGGCGAACAGCGTTTTTAGTGTTTAAAATATATAGACTAAAAAATATATTTTAAAATTAGTTTTCTACAGCAATCTTCTGCTTTTATGAAGTGAAATCGACATATTTAGGTTCCTTAGACCAAATACTTTAAGAAATAAACATTTATTTAATACAATTCGACATGAGTCAACTAGCCTATTGACGGGAATCGACTTATAGCCCACCAGGTGGGGATATCTTTTTCAACGCATCTGCACTGCCTCGCTCTACTAAATCGCTCGCTCGCTCTTCCGTAAAAATAATCGAAGTAGAATATATCTGTACCTTCTAAGCAGTTCATCATATCTACTCTATGGTCGGGAATAGATAACGCAGCGTCACAGAACACCTCTTGTGTTATGAATTTGTCGCCGCGTGGATTGATGCCCTTCATCACCACCACTTGACCAGGGAAGAGAGAATAATGTTTTAAACTAGAACAAAAAAGGTTTTTGTTTATTTCTCTATTGAAAATATTAGTCATTATGCAACTTGACAAGAAAAGGGGTTCTTACTTATCCAGATCAACAGAGACAGCCTGGCTCAGAGATTCGTCCCAAGTTCCTTGAAGCATCACGCATTTAGGATTCAATCTTGCGTCTGCGTCACATTCTATCCGACCAGCTACTGCCACTTCCGTCTAATCGTGACAAAACGAAATAATATTATTGTTGGATAATTATGATCGTCAGAAGCAGACAGTATGTGTAACCTTTTTTCTATCTAACATCTCTATTTCTTTTATTGTTAAGAATATTTTAGGTGTGACTAATTTAAATTTGATGGTTGCGATCGCCAAATTAATTGAAATCAGCCCCAAGTTCGGTATGTAAGCTAAATTCCTTGGTCTATAGGACTACCTCAAAATAATAGCATCAAGTGGTGCAGTGTAACAAGGAGCACAGTGTAATATAAGGAATAAATATGTATCATACACGGCCATTTGACGTCTGATGACAGCTGCTTAAGATGGCGGCATATGAAACGTCAAAAACAGACCATAGACAAGTAAGAAAGGGGCAAAGATATTCCTTGTTACACTGTCCCCCACTTGATCCTAATTTTCACCTACTTGTGTTTTATGTTTAACTGAAGAAACCTCTTGGATGCCAGCCTTTTTCATTATACATCGTGATAGGTAACTTATGTGGTTGTCAAATGTAGTCGCTTTCTCGTGTAACAGCTCAAAACCAAACCTAGACAAATAAATTTGGAGAATTTATAAGCAGAATTGAATTCCAAATTTTAAAAATAAGGAAATATTTGTGTCTTGCGTTTGATTGCAGAAACATATAATCGCATTCGGTCCCTTGACAGAGTATCTTCTAAAACGTATGTGTTCCTAAATTGGTGATTCCAGGGTTTCATTAGTACTTATTGGTAAAAAGTAGGTACCTTTACTAGGGGTAACCAGTTGGCCTAGATAAAGAAACATGAACGTATGAGTCTGATCTTACCTAAACTGATAAGTGTAGGCCTGAGATGGCTCGGGAGAATTTTACCCGTAACTATATAAAAAATTCCGAAGTTATGTTAGTACCCATATAAAGTACCTACATAAAGCAACTTGTGTAATGAAATAAGAAAAAGGCTAATATTGCTGTTTCAAACAAATATACTCACATAGATTTAGTATATAAAACACCATCATCATTGGGCATTTGTACGACTGACACATGCAGGATATCACTGTGTACTGTCGGTTGAGATATAAGTTGTAGTAACTGTTCGTCACCAAATGAATGCACCACCGACCCAGGGTTCGTTCTTGAGGCATACTTTGCTGAGTGATCTCTGTAAACGAACAAAAGACCAAATCTCCACATCATTACACGCATTAAAGTTTTAATAGCTCTTTGACACAGTTCTTGTTGGTTTAACACAAAAAAACCAACGCATATGCATAACAATATCAATTAACTGACTAAATATACTTGTTATTTTGAGTTTTTGTAGCAAGAACAGTATCTAAAAGCAGTGCAATTAAAACACCATCGAGACACGATACGAAATCCAATAGGATAGGTATGGTCGTATTGACGAGGGACTTGAGCGGAATTTCTAAATAACAATCGTAATATTTATTTCACTCCATAGATAGACTGCATACATTTTATTTGAAGTCAGTTGATCGTCGTCTGTCATACGTAATGTGTTCGTAAACAAAAAGAAAGCTCCGCTCTACTCCTTTCGTCCTCGCTCCACCTCGCACAGCGACACTGATATAGTCCGAGAGCCGGCTGTATAAAAGTACTATGGATCAGATACATGAATCATTTTTGGGGTATGAACAATAAAGCCATAGGTCTAGTCTAGAGGTCGACACCCCTGAAGTTGCTTGATTTTGCCCGCATGAAAAATTATGACGACACTTTCGGTTTTTATTTTAGGTGTAATTGTATTTTATCAAATACATCAAGAAAATGTATTCGCTACCCTGAGTCGACCACCATTAAATATATATATTTTTTAATTTATCTTAAGTCATCGAATACATGGATTTGTTTACGATTTCCTGAAACTAGAACCTCTCAAATGACTGAAAAAAATTGGCCGACACCTTTTATTTGCCCGGTTCTGACTGTCGACTTAGTTTGAAGAATGAAAGAGCCTATGCTTATATATTTCATCTCTTAACCAAGATCTTAAGCCTCGATTACACGGGGCGAGTTCGCGAGTTTACAAGTTACAAGCCTGCGAGTTTTCTAGCCGCTTGTATACTCCCCGTGTCATCGGCTTTTTTACCATCTGCTACTCAATGATACGGGGCGAGATTACAAGCTTTCAGCGAACTCGCTGGCTTGTAGCCTCTAAACTCGCCCCGAGGCGAACATTATAATTTGCAATTACTCGGAAATAGTAATAGGAGGAAGGTTTAATATTTACCTTCCTATTTACATAAAAACGGTTATTTTTACCTTTCTTAAATTAATTCCGGTTTCTGCCAAGCGCCATAAGATCTTGGTTGCACTGTACACTTTTGTAGATAAAATTGCTAAATCACAAGCTTCGCTATGATTTCCCTTTACCTACAATACCTTTACATATTTTCGTTTCGAGTGAAAACCTATTTTGATTAAATTACTGAGCTCGTTCTTGAACTTCCCAAATTATTTCGTTTTTTTCTAAGTTACTATAAGTATCTATGTTAATTTTTACTTACATATTTGGAGAATATGAAACAGGACGCAGCTCTACATGATTAGTTTGTGCAGGTTCCTTTTCTACTTTAACTCTCTGTAAATATATTGAAAGTGTTTATATAATACTCTTATTTTATATGTAACATCATTCACACCACCTAACATGACTTTATTTATATAACCAGGTACTTATTTACTACATGTGGTAAAAAAAACAGGAAATTGTCACACCCTAACATTTATTTTTCAACCGATGAAAAAAACGGAGGAGGTTATCGATGCGTATATTTATTTATGTATCATGTTCACGCATTAGTGTACGTATCATGTACAGAGTACTCCGATTTTATTATTTTTTTAATGGAAAAAGCTATAAGTACGCCAGATTGGCCCCATATAAATTTCGAAAAAAATACCAACCCTAAGGGTAGGAAAACAAGGGATGATTGTTTGCTTACTCACTGATTATAATGTATAACTACAAAACTTTTTACAGAGTATTCCGATTTTTTTTTTTTCTTTGATTGGATAATATACCTCGAAATTGGTCCCAGATAAATTCGGAAACACAAAACAATCACTCATATTTTCTTACCCTAATGCCTTGATCACACGTACCGAATAAACGGGAGAGACAGTAAAATGTTTCTCGGCCGAGACAATGATGTAAACGAGCGGTCGGCCGAACACTGTATATACGTACCAAGTACTCGGCCGAGAGCACTGTCTCGCTCGTTTGCTGGGTACGTGTGATTAAGGCATAAGGGTGGGAAAAAATGGGTGATGTTCATTCACCGATTTTGATGCCGAGTTGTATAATAGGTATTGTATATTATAAAATAAAAACTTTTTAACAACCATGCCGTGCATGTCTGATAATTATTATTCTGAGATCCCATTTACTCTCTACTTGGGTTGGCATGACACCGACTACAAATCTTAATTTGACTAAAGATAAAAGGTTAATTATTTTGGATTTTTAGTATCATAGTCAATTTAGACATTCATATGTACTTAAATTCACATCAAGCTGAGAGTGAGCACAATTGTTATAAACATAATTAAAAATAAAATATCGAAATTCCCCATTGTTCTGGTACATGTAAAAAAATACTCGAGGCCAAATGCGGATTAAAAAAGTAACAATAACCTTACACAAAAATGGTGATCATAAATTATCGAGAAAAAAGGTAAGTATTAATATTTTTTTCCAATGAACCACCGTTCCTGACATATTTATAACGATTCAAAGTTATAAGTCATAATATAATATATTTAACGTGGTTTGTTCAGTAGGCCTATTCTACAGGTCTGTTGCGATTCTGTTTAATTGGAAACTATTGCATAATAACAAATATAAGCAAGGGTTTGAATTGATAAAAGCGATAGAAATTTTAGAAGAAAATTTTATTCGTCTAATTCATAATTTTCAATTACTTCTTCCCGTTGTTTTTCACCTTGATCTTGATCTTCTTCTACATCCTTGGTGTAAGTGTATTGCGTCAGTAGCACACATGTCTCTTCGTTGGTAGCAAACGAATCCTCTACTGTTGGTGATTCCACATTATAACACGACTGGCATTGACAATTCGTACATGCCAGAGAACAAAACAGTCCAACTTTTTTGCAACTACATTTAACACTGCATCCTTTTTACAGTTGCAAAAAAATGTGATTAGCACTTTTTCCGGCGCAGGTGGGAGTAAAGTCTGAATTGGTTCTAATGTATTGTTGACCAACTTCCAAGCCATTTTTTGGGTCTAGCTGATAACCAAGTCGCACTTGAACTTGGTACCCGAAAAAGACGTTAATGAGCAGCAAGTGAGGTTGCTAATTGCACTTGTTTCTTTTTATTTCGAGTGTTTTTAACAAAACTTTCATATCTAAGCTGGTAGTTTTCTTAAGAGTTCCGTACATAAAAAGAATAAAACGAATTCTATCAGTGACAATTTCTAGTGGAATTGAATTTCTTTTTTTTTAAAGCTTCAGCACATTATTCTCGTAGTTATACTTATGTATATTTTATATTTAAAATGTAAGTTAGAATCACCGGTAGAATAATATTTTTACTTATATTACATTTACAGAGATGTGTATACGTGTATGACGCTTACCATTATTTAATCGTTGAATCTCAGGAATGGTGGCTCTTAGGAAAATCAATATTAATACCTTTTTATAGATAATTTTATGATCTACATTTTTGCCTAGGGTAATACTTACCGTTTTGATAAAATAGCGAAAAACCCTTTTTTTACTTTTGACCTCGAGTTATTCTTTTTCGGAACTGGAGGATTGGGGTGGATGGTGGATTTTAATATGTTATTTTTAAATATGTTTTCAACAATTGTACTCACTTTCAAAGCTGAAAATCACATCAAGCGTTGTGAATTAATGTACCTCCAATTTTTCTGTCTATTTTGACCGAACTATCACTCACTCAATACAGTCACCACGTGACAACGTATACCAGCGGGATTGGTCCTCTGAAAGAAAGGGGAAGGTGATAGAATAACTCCTCAAAACATTCTCCGTAGTGGGAACAATAGAACGCGCTTAATTACGCCATATCGCGGTGTAGAGGCTCAAAGTTTTTGCTCACCCCCACATGGCCTAGATGCGGGTCGCGTGCCGCTACCGCTTCCACCTATCCAGAGCATCGCGTAAGCACTTGGCGAGGCCATGAGTTTTTGTAAAGCTGTGTAGAACACGGTTTCATTGTAGTCCATTCGATTAAGGTCACAGCGAACTTCCATTCTAAGTATGCTGATGCTGCTCTTTAGCGCCAAGGGGAAGGAATTCAGTTTTTCCCGTGAATACGCAACCATAAATATTCTCAATGAGTGCAATAACATTCGTGGTTTTCTTCTAGCTCGTTTCACTCATGTCAGAGTGGTCGTGATCACGATGAGGTATCTAGGGAGGAGGCACATGTAGCTCGTCTTAAGACTTCCTGCCATCTTGCTCTATCAACAATGTAGATGCATAAATAGAGGCAGCAATTGCAGATTTAATTAAGTCAGTCCATCTCAAAGCTGAGCTGCCACGTCGTCTTGCACAACGCACGGGTATGTTTTTAGAAACCCATTCGTTTTTTTTTTCTTGCCAGATTATCAAGCCAGACACAAACGAAACCGAACGAAAGTGCTAAAATATTATAATATTGTTAACTAGGTAAATATTGTATTAAATTATTTTTTATTATTGAAAAATAAGTTTGCTGCGAAGAAATGGCGCTGCCTCGCAGCCTAAGAAATACTAGAGAAAAATTCAACACGGACAATTAGGGCCGCGGTAGTATAATGGTCAGTGCATCCACACGAATAGCCGAGGGTGCGGGTTTGAGTCCCGTCAGTGTTTGACAGTCAGTCACATCTAGCAGTTATATGCTTAAAAAATAAGCTTGTGTTGAGCCTTTGTGCTCATGTAATGTCTTGTCTATCTTTCTTCATCTTCTATCCGTGCGGTGCGTCTATCTTTTATCCGTGCGGTGACGGAGAAAGAATACAACTCACCGCCCCTTCTCTTCCCGTGGGTCTCGTATGAGGCGACTAAGGGATATCGGAGCTTCCATCCACTCTGCTGGTGGTAGGGTGCCTAACACCCGCCTGGTTTGTTACCACCGTGCGCATGGTGAAATACCCGTGAAATGCTTCTCGCGCGTTTCGGGGTCAGCCACCGTACAATCAGGGCTCGAGTGGCTCGGGGTGGACCGTCGTGCCGGTTGGTGACCGGGGCGTGGGGTCCCGGCAGCCACTTCCGGGGGGGTGCGGGGGTCCTTCCGTCCGACGGGTCGGCGTATATCCTCTGCAGGCAATTATTCGGGGAAACATGCCTCCCTAATTTGCCCGGTCTTGTCGCGAAAACGTCCACTCGTTTCACGTCTCTTTATCACTTCCATAATGGCGGCTCTCAAAACAAAGTTTGGACGTACAGCGGTGCACGCCTTCAACGCTGTTTGAGGTCGAGTTCTGTAAAAGACAAGGACCTATCGGCCAGCGCCGTTGCTATTACTGAGGAGATTGTAATGGGTATGGAATACTATATTCCTCATTCCAATCTCATCAGTAAGGGCACACGTAACCTCTGGTTCAATCACGACTGTGCTGAAGCTGCTTCGCGTAAGCAAGCGGCTTATCGTGCTTGGATGAGAGGCCGCGCACTTAAGGATCCCGGGGTCGATTCACTAAAAGCAGCCTACAATATTGCTTCCAAGGCCTGTAAGAAGGCTTACATCAGAGCGGATGCACAGCGCGTTGCACGTGTTGGTCACGAACTTACGACGCATCCTACGGGCTCCCGTAGCTATTGGCGTTTAGCCAAGGCCGTGCAAAAGAAGCCTTCTGCCAGCCCTCGCTGCCACCTCTGAGATGCCCAGACGGAACACTAGCTCATAAGCCGCAGGAGAAAGCCGATTTACTGGCAAAACTCTTTGCGGCTAACTCCCGAAACGATGATTGCAATGCACTGCCACCATCATTACCTCATTGTGGCACAACGATGCCTGATATCAAAATCAGGCAGCGTGAGGTTCGTGCCGAATTGCAATCACTCGACGTCCGGAAATCTAGTGGACCCGATGGCATCGCTGGGATGCCATCGGGTCCACTAGATTGGGTAGTACTGAAAAAATTTGCAGCGGAGTTTTCTCCCGTGCTCACGCGTTTGTACCAGTGCTCGTATTCTTTGGGGCGTGTGCCGGAGACTTGGAGAGATGCTAACGTGCAACCGGTACCCAAAAAAGGGGATCGCTCAGACCCGGCTAACTACCGGCCAATAGCAGTCAACTCAGTATTATGTAAAGTCCTAGAAAAGGTCCTTAACAACCATCTGACCCGCTACCTAGAGGATCACTCTCTGATTAATGATCGTCAATATGGTTTTAGACCGAAACTATCGACGGGTGATCTTCTAGCGTACTTGACTCTTATCTGGGGTGAAGCTATCGACAAGTGAGGCGAGTCGTTGGCTATCAGCCTTGACATTGCCAAGGCATTCGACAGGCACAAAAGCCTTCTCTCCAAGCTTCTGGCATACGGTCTGCCAGCCCAGTTCTGTTCTTGGGTAGCTGACTTCCTGCATGAGCGTAGAATT